TATATCATCTGCATAACACAGACTGTTGATGAGTCTACCTCCAATCCTGATGCCACATTTCTCCTCAAAAAGCCGAGCCTTCTGGATAATCTGTTCCACATATAGCATGAAAATGTAAGGAGAAAGGACACATCTTTGGCGCACACCCTTCCCAGTTTTCAGTGTTTCCTTGTTCTGATGACTGCTTCCTTGTCCAAGTATAGGATTCACATAAGCATAATCAAGTGTTCTGGGATTCCCATTCTTCTCAGAGTCATCACAGCTTATTGTGATCCACACAGTCAAATGCCTTTGCATAGTCAATGAAAAACAGATAGGCATTCCTCTACTTCTTTCTGCTTTCAGCCAAATCCTTCTGACATTAGCTATAATATCCATAGTACCACAGCTTCCACTAAACCCAGACTGCACTTCAGGCAGTTATCTGTTGATGCACTGTTCCAGTCATTTTTGGATCATCTTCAGCAGAATCTTGCTTGAATGTGGTATCAATGATACCATTCGATACTTTCCGCACTCTGTCCTAATCATCTTTCTTTGGAATAAGAACAAATATAGATCTCTTCCAGTCAGTTGGCCAGGTGGTTGTACTCCAGATTTTTTGGTACAACTTGGTGAGCACATCCAGGGCAGTATCTGTTTGTTGAAATATATCAATTGGTATGCCATCAATTCCTGGGGTCTTGTATTTTGCCAAATCCCTAAGAGCAGCTTTAACTTCTTCATCACCACTGGCTCATGCTCATACATTGTTTCATGAAATTCTTCTGTTTCTGCCAATTCCTTTTAGTAAAAAACTCTGTATACACTTTCCATCTTCTTTTAATTCTTTGTGGATCATTTCCTATTCTGCCCAAAGCATCCTTAAGTATTGCAACTCAAGGTTTGAATTTGTCCTTCAGTTCCTTCAGCTTAAGAAATGCTGAGTGAATTAGGTTCTTTTGATTTCCTGACTCCAGCTCCTTACACATTCCATTGTAATACTTTACATTGTCATCCCACGCTGCCCTCTGGAATCTTTTGTTCAACTCCTAAATAACTTGATTTCTTCCTTTTGCTTTGGCTTCTCGACGCTCTAGTGCAATATTCATAGTTTCTTCTGACATCCTCCTTGGAGAGGGATGTCATGCTTGAGAGGGTGGAGGGACAGCGCAGGAGGGGAAGATGCTGAATTAGGTGGATTGATTCAGTGACTGGGGTAATGAGGATAGGTATGGCAGAGACAATAAGATTGGTGCAGGACAGAGCAGGGGTTAGGGCTGTTGTACATGGGGTCACTAAGAGTCGCAGGTGAGTTGATGGCACATAACAACAAAAACATATTCCTTTCAGATTGTTCTTCCCCTCATCTGTTCCAATGCCATGAATTAAGCCGCACAATCAACCAACTTGATCTCATAGATATATACGGGCTAACACACCCCAAAAATGCTCAGAATACATACTCAGTATGCATGGAACATTCTCCAGAAAAGATCAGATTTGGGGTCACAAAGCAAGTCTCAGTAAATTTAAAAATACTGAAATAATGCGAAGTATTTTCTCAGATCACAATGCTACAAAATTAGAAATCAACAGCAAGATGATAAAAGAGGAAAAAACCATACAATTGGAAGCTGAACAACACCCTG